ATTTAGTATTTTTTAAAATTAAATACATACTTATTTTTTAAAAAATATAAGTCATTTTTAACTGAATCTCACCTCAATAAAGAAGTTACTTATCTTTATTAAAAATTATTTTATTTTACTTTTCTCTTTATTGAATCCATATACTGCATCTTTGAATACCTTTTTTTGGCCAGTTTATATATTTAATTTTTTAAAAAGTTACAAAATAAATACATTTAAATAATAAAAGTTAATTTTGGTAATTTAAATAATTTTTGGATAACATTTATATTTAAACAGGGGTATTTTAGTTTAGTATATGTGACTTAACGGTTAATTAATAGTCAGGTGGATGAAAATAAAATTTTAAAAAAATAGCTTCTATTTTATAACAATCCATACTAAAAAAATGTTTATATAAATTTTAAAAAATAGAAGAGATGTATCATTAATTAAGATAAAAATATACAAAATATTTTTCTCATTTTTAAGTATAAGTTTTGTATCAACAATTTATTTTTTTACAAATCCCACATATACATCTTTTATTACATGAACTACATAATTCTTTTTTTATTTATTATACCATATTAAAAAAATTAACAAATAAAAAGAAAAAAGAAAAAAAGTCGAATGTACCGTACCCATCCATAAAATTTGAAAAAAAAAAAACAAAGAAAGAAGATAACGTTACCCATCCGTAACAAATTTTAAAAAAATGAAAAATTGGATCCCGATCTGTGCTTACAAGACAAAAAATAGGGAAAAATTGGGGGCATTTTGGGTAGAACTCTGTTCATTTACTGTTCATACAACATCTTAAATTTATGCTATCTATTGAGAAAACTACCAAAGGGACTCCATTGATGACTGATTAGTGCCACATGCTCATCCTTGATTATCTTCTCAGAAATTAGAATCAAAATGATAATGGGCCGTGAAACTTGGTCCAAAAGTGAAGCACTGCACTTTTCTTTGCCTTGTTTTAAGGGACATGACTTTTGACTAGTTAGTTCACATTAGAACAAGCATAAATAAAATATATGATGAAATATACAGTCATACTTTTAAGGTTTTTCCATTACAAGATAACTTCATAAAATCATAAAAATATTATAAACAATTTTCTTCAATGTCAACCAAATTGAGATAATAATTCGATTCCAATCAGAATATTTGTACTAAATATACACACACACACACTAGCAAACAAAAGAATTGTCATAAATCAAACAAATTTTATATATACAAGTATTTGGTTTTCAAAAAATACTAAATTATCATGTTTTTTTTAAATTTAAATAACTAACATGATAATTTATGAAGATATAAAGAATTAAATTGATAAAAATTAAATTTGAGGGATCAAATTATAAAACAAATTTAAGGGTTTAAAAGTTTCATCATCTTTGCGTTTGGGTGGCTCACGTTTCACATTTTAAATATGCCTTTTAACTTTTGAAATGTGAAATGTTATTTGAGATGTTTTTTTAGGTGGAATGTGATTTAGAAAAGGACTTTTAAATGGGTCTAAAACGGGAAAAACGGAAAGCTCCTTTTGGTAGCTTTTCAAACGCAAATCTGGCATGGTGATTGGTACCTAATATTATAAATAACCATGATACCCTCATATTTTTCCTTTTTCTCGTGCAATCGAAGCTGGCCTCTCTCTTATTTTGCTGCTTCTCATCACTATCATCCGTCACTCCTCTGTCGCTTGTCCATCGCTCCTTCGTCACTCCACCATCTTTCCTCCATCGCTCATAAAAACACGAGCAACATGGTGAAAACATGGTCAACGATTACAGGTACAAGGTGGCTCGCCACCGTACAGGGCCTTGTGACTTTGTTGGTCAAGTTCACTGAGTTGGAGGGTTCACGAGAAGGATAGTATCGGTGCACTAAATTTTGGAAGATATCGGGGATGCAAGGGAAAGATTGACTCAGCAAGTTGAGATAAGAAAAAGCCTGGGGCTCATCAGAGGGGAAGTTGGCGCAGGCGACGGAAGAGGGTCAAACAATTTGTCATGGCAAGAGCTGAAGCAGTTGAGGCCAGTATGGGATGACTACTTTTTTCTAATAAAATGAATTATTTTTTTATTTTCAATACTCCCAATAATTAACTATACAGTCATTTAACCATTCATTTTTATAATTGTTTTAAATTGAATTTTGATTTTATGTGTTTAATTTTAAACAATATAAATTTTTTAACAATTGTATTATCTATAAAAACAAGAATAAATCCATTTTGTGAACATTTCTAATATATTATATTTGTATAATAAAAATTATAAATTATCACAAATCAATGTCCTTTTTTGTCATTGCATATTAAAAAGTACATTTTAAAGACACAAATTTTTATTAATCCAAATGACTTTTAGTTTGCCAAACTGACTTTTTAAAAAATGTATCTAAATATAAATTTCGTTACAACAACTGACTTTTGTCAAATGAGCTTTCATCAAACTAACTTTTGATAAACTGAAAATTAAATACACACTTAATGTTTATCTATATATGTTTTTAAAAAAATACAATTACTATTTTCCCCCTTTCATTTTGCAGGAGAAACTAGGGTGAAGACCTCAAAGATTAAGGTGGGATGGAATACATGACGTGCTAGATATATGACATGAACCGCACAATAAAGCTTGCATGTTGCTGAGCTTTGAAATTCTATATATGTCCTGTTCTTTGCTATTTCTTTCATTGTGATATTGCAATCATTGTGTGTGTGTGTGTGTGTGTGTTTTGCCATTTTGAGTATGTTCTCAAGAAGCAAATTTTTTCTTCTCACAAATAGTTGCATCAGAATAAATGCCAACCATTTTGTTCCTTGAAACAAACAAACAAACCCTATTTGCATATAGGTTGATCCCTCCCTCCCTCCCTCCCTCCCTCTGTGTGTGTGTTTGTGTGTGTGTGAAAGATGTTCTTAATTTTAATTTTACGATTTTGTAGAACATTAGAATGATATCATTATATCAATTTATATAACAAAACATATAACACGAATTGGACTATTTATAAATCATAGACAATGGAGATCATTTCTTAATGTTGGATTACACCCTTGATGAATTGGACAAAATGAGAAGAGGCCCGAATTGGGATTAAATAATTAAACAACTCACCTCTAGATATGGTTAATTTGCCACGCAAGCAGCAACCTAGTTCGTAATAGAATGGTTTGAGCATCTCCATGGACTTTTCCCCTTGTAATCAAATAATTAATTACCACCTGTGATCTCCTCGTAATGTAGGGTGCTGCCTTAGTGTTTGAAAAATTTGGCCGTGCTGGGACTTTTACTTTTTTCGTAACAGAAACAAGTTGTTGCCATTTAATGAGAAAACCACCTAATGGACCTCCACTAATAACTGCCGAGTTGGCTAGTGAGCCGATCACCTGGTTGATCTGATTGATTGACCAAACCAGTCACTTTGTGGCCTAATTTTAGCCTAGTCAACTTAGCTTCAACTCAAGAAAACCTGATCAACTTATGTTTGACCTGGTTTTTTTTTTTGCACCTTTCTTTTTTAATATTGAACTCTAAATCTAATTTAAATTCCTTAATTAATATTTTTAATATTGTTGTATTTTATTATTGTGAAAAACTTATAATTAATATTTGTATAGGACATGTATAAGATTTTATGGATGGTTTTTTTCATTTACTTAAGAATTAAAGAATTTTTTTATTTTTTTTTCAGAAATTAAAGACTTTTTTACTTACATATTACTACTTTTCTTAGGAAAATATGAATATTTTATATATTTAAATTAAATTTTATTATTTTGATTATGAACGATCTGATTCAAGGTTAACGGCCTTGATTGGACTACTAACTTTTAATTACCACTTCAATCGATTTCATGATTAATTTAGTTTTCAATACTTTGGATGAGTATCGCATGCTCATCATTGATCATCTTATAAATTAAAATGAAAATAATAATTTTTCATAAAACTTGGGGGCAGAAGTGAAACACTGTACTTTTCTTTGCCTTGTTTAGAGGGACATGACTTTGACTAATAAGTTTACATTAGAACAAGCATAAAAAATTGAAATATACAGTCATATTTTTTTTTACATGGCAAGATAATTTGATAAAATCATAAAATAAAATAAACAAATTTTTAAAATGTTAGCAAATTTGTGATAATAATTCGATTCTAGGAGAAATTTGCCATAAGTTTAATTGAAATAGTTTTACATATATTTGAAATTCTATAATAGAATAATTATATCACAATGATATTAAAATCAAAAGAAACTACTATATTTGGAATGGAAATATTCCAAGTCAACTCAGAAATCTTCGTGATTGCAGTATCTTGATCTCTCAAAAATTATGCTAGAAGAAAAATACCTCATCAACTTAAGTATCTCCCACGCTTGCAACATCTTGATCTCTCATCTAATCAACTTGTAGGGGTGATTACCTTACCAACTTAAAAGTCTCTTACAATTGCAACATCTTGACCTCTCATGGAATATTTTTATAGGAGAAATACCTTGTCCATTTGGCAACCTTTCAAATTTGGAAAAGCTTATTCTCGAGTATAGTGGTTCTCTAAAAACTAACCAAAAGAATGGTGGCGGAGGTGAGTAGCTCTCTAGTCTCACAGGTTTGACCCATCTTTAGTTAAAAAACACAACCAAGTTTAAATATTCTTACGAGTCTAAAATGAATGGAGAGATACCAAGCTTAAAAGAACTATGCTACCTGACAATGATCTTTCGTGTCGGTATATAGTTAATAGCTTATTAAGTTGATAATAAATATTAAGAACTCAAAAAATAAAATAGGTTATTTAATTGAACACTTGTGGTTTAATTGATTATTGCACACATCGATAATAAATTTAAAACCCAATCACACTGTACTGAGAGAATTAATCAAAAAAATCACTCAACTGGAAATTGATGGATCCATGTGATGACAATGGGGAAAAAAAAAACTATGAACCGGCTAGCTCTATAACATTAGGCTAGCTAGAAGGTCCCACCTAATAAAATGTATATTCATATTCTACTGTTCAACTAAGCCTAGAAATTACAAAAATGGAAGAGATATCAATCCAAGCTAAGTGGCAATGACAAACAGCCAGGCTTTATAATCAAGTCAGCAAATTCATTCTCAGCATAAAATGCTGCCACTGTTGGATTCCCACCATAAGTTCGTCCACTCAACTGAGCTCGTGCTATTGTTGCACCATCCATGTCAGCATACTCCAAAAACACCTGCATGTACATATATAAATATATAGGCTGCGTTAATAATTTACAGGCGATACGAAAAAGAAGGAAAAACCAAAACACCAATAATCAAACTCTATTAATATCTTGGGGTTTCTACATTTGCCAACCAGGAAGGCACATCTTATAGTGCTTGTTTGGTTTCACATTTGAAAAACTCAAGCTTATATATGTTTGAACCAATCCATCTAGACACGTGCTTTGCCATTAATTAATGTGTATCATAACTCACAACACCAATAAAAACAAACACACCCAAGAAGTTTATGCAGTCAGTGGGGGCAAAATCTGTACTTAAAATAAATATTAATATATTTTTAAAATAATATTTTAAATATGTATTCAATTAAATTATAGATAAAATTTATTAGAAATTCATAAAACATAAAATTATAAAAATATTAATGTCTTTATACAACCAAACTTTTCATAAATATTAGAAAATAATACTGCCTTTAATTTTATTTTTTATTAAATAAAATTTATCTACTTGCCTTTGTATAATATATAATTTTTTTAGATAAAATTTTTTATTCAAACAATTAGAGAAAGATATTTTTTAAATTATGTTCCCGTAGATTCTAAACTATTTTATTAAGTTTATTATAAAATAGATAAGTTCTCAGATGAATTTTAAGGAGTGGAAAATTTTAGGGAGACAAATGACTTTTTTAGGATGGGGGCAATTGAAAATTTTTAGGTACGCAGATCTGTCCTTGAGTTTATGCATTGTAAAGCTGAGTTTCTAAAAGGCAGCACGTAACATTGATTTGCATAGTGTTGATATAATTATATCATGCAAACATTTTATAGATATATATGTGATGTGAAGGACATTCAAATGCTAGAATTAGTACTAATCAGTACCAATAGACTACCATTGTTAATAAAACAGACAAAACTTAAGTCCATCTGCTTATAGAATAACGCATTGAATAATGAATAGATCTATTGAACATACCTTTCCAACGCCAAGTGGTGATGGTTCCCAATTTGGTCGGGGCCGAGGTATCACAACATTAACCAATGTACCTGCAGATGATAAATAAGAAGTGGTTAATTACGTACAGAGAAAAAAAAATTACTAAATATATCCCGTGAAATCAAGTAAGATTGAAGATTATTGGTGGAAGATGGAGGCTTCTGTCTTTATGTGTGAGGCCTGATGTCATGATGCGTGAATACAATTGTAGCTGTAAAACAAAGAAATAGAAAATAAAAATATTACTATATATGAATATGATAGCCTGCAGAATTAAAGAGAGACAAGCAAACTAAACCAGACGTTACCATATTTGGATCCCTCTCTTCTCATATCATCTACAATCTCTTCATAGTCCTTATCATCTTTCAGATCAGCAGCAGATATAGCCTGACTTAGACAAACAACCTTCGTTGCCCTCTGTGGAATTTAATAAACACCAATCAGTTTAGAATATGAAAAAGTACAAGCAAATACAATATTTGATAATGGATATACTTATAGCAGTAAATTCAATAACATCAAATACGTACCTGAAGTCCATGAGTTAATCTGCTTTCTTGCTTAGGTTTTGGCGCTCTTCTAAGTATAAGAGTCTTATCTCCAGATTTTATTCCATTCAAAGCAGCACAAGCAATATCTGTTACCACAGGATGTTGATAAGCACAGAATGCATAGCCCTTTGAAATTCCTGTATCTCTATCTTTCACCAATTCAAAGCCCCGAAGTTGACCAAAAGTCTCTACAAGTGCCCTGACCTCTGTTTCTCTCAAGTAATCAGGAAGACCACCCACAAATAAACAATCAGGACCATCAAGTCCATCAGCAGCAGATATAGCCAGGCTTGAACTGGCGATCTTCGACTTCGTTGCTGCTAATTCTTGCTGAAACATAACTCTCTAAGGAATTCAATGAACATCAATCAGTTAGGATATGATAAAAAAACACAAACCAATAATATATTTGATAAGAGAATATCATCGAATACCTTTAGTGCAGGTTTTGTCTGGTTTTCACCTTGATTAGGTCGTCTAACAGTAAGAGTCTTATCTCCAGATTTTATTCCATTCAGAGCAGCACAAACAATATCTGTAACTGCAGGATCTTGATATATACAGCATGCATAACTTTCTGAATTTCGAGTATCTCTAGCTTTCACCAATTCAAAGCCCCGAATTGGACCAAAAGTCTCAAGAAATTCCCTCATCTGTGTTTCTGTAATGTAGTCAGGAAGACCACTCACAATTACAGCATCAGCACCATCAAGATTCTTCTTGTTCAGAGCCATTTGCATCTAATAATGATATCTTCGTCAAACCGATCTTCTTTCAATTGTTCACGTACTCCTTGCCTTTCATCGCTTTCTTGACCTCTATTTATAGAAGCTAGAGGGTTTTTTTGACTTTTGAGATAAGGTATTTCGAAAATCTAACAATGAGAATAGTTAAATCTTGATCTTGATTTTTTTAACCAGAAATCTTGATCTTAATAAAGATATTATTTATTTAATATCTTGAGATAATATTAATTGGGATATTGTTTATTTCTTTAGTTCATCAGCGGTGGAGATATTTTAAGATAATTCAATGATATAGTGATTTTTATCATTTTCCTAACTCCTTTAATTTCTTTTGAATTTTTCAGAGGATAATTTATTACAGATATATAGATTTTGTTTTATCCACTTAAAAATTTAAGCGTGCAGAATAATCTTTAAAGAAGTTTTGACCCTCTAAATTTTTTCATCGCTTACTTTTTTTTTTTGTTATTGTTATTATTTTATCTTTATTTCTATTCAAATAAACCAAAAAATATGGTTTTCACAATTTTCATTGTATTGCAATAGGACTCTTGATTATAGCAGTGAACTGTGATCCTGGATTGTGGTGCAACCGATCATGAATAATTATATTTTAAAATAAATAAATTTGTATAATAATAAAAATGAATGTTTAATTTTTAGACAAAATAATATATAATAAAAAATAATATTAACCAGAGAGGGGGGCCAACCTTGCCCTCTTCACCGAGAAGTTAGCGTGAGAGAGAGCGTGTTATGAAGGACCAAGACGAATTATTTTTTTCTAAGGTTTTTAGGTTTTTAGTTTTTTAACATTTTATGTAATTATACATAATTTATTATTTAATTTATTTTTATTCTATAAATTATTTGTTATAAAAATATTTTAAAATTTAATTAATTTTTAAAAATTGGCCCTTTTAACTTGGGAGGGAAGTTTTCTTCTAAGCATGAGTCATAGATACACTTATCACTTAAATAAGTTATTAGATGTTCGAATTTCAATATTTATGTATGTTCTAATTTAGTTGGGAGTTAGCCTACCCATATTACTTTCATTATCTCCCTTTGATAGTTCTACTAAATTAATATTTGTAGATATGAAAACAATTTGAAAACACATGGAGAGCAAAATATTGTTTCCAATATAATTAAAAAGGAATATAAAATATAAAAACACTTCGAAAAACCAGTACATATTCCTCCTCATATCCAAACAAGAATGCACACTAATTTATTTCCCAATATTTTGAGAACCTTCACACTTGGCCCATTTTCCATTTCAAGTATGTTTCCACAATGTCAAATCCACAAAGTTCCTTTACAACAGGCATGGTTGCTGGCACATCCAATTGGAATGGTTTATCAATTTCTTTTGAGTTTCTCCATGAATGAAGCTGTTTTCTGGCTTCCTTGATAGCTGCTCTAATGGCACAATGAACCGTAGTTGCTAGAAGCAGCGGCGGCTCACCGGAAGCTGCAAAAACAAGATTTGAAGTGTCTTTTAATATAAGAATTCTCCTTTGCTAGAATTTAGGGTTAAAGAGAAAATGATAAAATTGCAATGATAACTAGGAAAGTAAAGTAAATCCTTGTATATCAACCATTAAGTACCTCTCAGGTTTGGAGTCCAGGTGAAATGATCTAGACATGTCAAGCACACACAGAGGAGGACAACATTGTATTTACTTGAACAACAAGCCTAGACCCAAAAACTTGAAGAGAAGCTTGACTCAGGTCTTGTTTTATTAATTAAATTCTTGAAGAGAGTTTGATTACAATGTTCACTATTCAAAACTCATCAAAAACTAGAGAGAGAGAACTAAAAGACATTATGTGCATGGCATAACTAACTCTGTTACAATCAATTTTATGGTCTCACCCTTGGAAGAGAGAAGCATTATTTTTCTTAACAGATTATTTTTATTTTCCCGAAATGACAAGGCACGAGCGGCTTATTAAAAACACTGTTAAGGAAGTCTCACGGCAGTCAGGCCACTTTACAATATGCACTGTCAAATCACTAGACATCTCACCTCTCTTAATTTATTTATAAATTATTTATAATATATTTTAGCAGTATTAAAAAAATTTTAAAATTATTAACTTTATCTAAAAATTTAATAAGTTATCAACCTTACCTTTATTAAATATATATATATATATATATATATTTTTAATAATATATTTTCTCTTTCTAACATTCAATGAAAGGTAAAAGAAAAAAATTTATGATGAAAATTTATCACATGTCTAAAAATAGGACAAAAACTTTTTTTTCTCTCTACTCTATAAATAAATCAGAGGGGGTATATTCTATGGAACTATGGTGTTCATCATTTAATCTTAATGTATACATTTTCTGATAATAATTTGTTCATTTAACAATTGATGACAAACAACTTGAACTCGAATCCTTTAAGTATAGAATCCATGAAGCTGAATGTTTTTCTTTTTTAATATGGTTACCTAATTAGGGGTGCTTTTTCTAAAAGCATTTTCTACATTTTACACGGGCTCAAATTTGAGACCTTGTGCTTAAAAAACACCACAACCCATTTCACTAAGATCAATGCCTATTGGTAGTGTGAAACTAAAGTTGATATAATGAATTGAATATGCTATCTATTTTTTACTGTCAATTTATGTTTAATTTCACAAAACTTCAACTTAGAGGAACTTTTCTCTACCATTTTAGCATTCATGTGTCCAGGAATCAAATTCTAAAGCAAAATTCAAGTGTCAAATCCAACACCACGATATATTCGTTCATACATGGTTCAGCATACGTTAGCAAAAATTCTAAGTAAAGAAACAAATTAAAAGGTAAAATAATTTGTATATCCATTTTACCCCATTTTCCACTACGAACCTTGGTGTTAATAACTAATCTACAAAACATAAAACTATCATACCTTTCGAAGAGAGAACACGATGCTTGTGATGTCCGCTATTGACAATTTCAACATTAAGCTGTTTTGGTATAGTGTCTAATGAAGGGATTTTGTAATTCCATGTTCCATCTTGTAAGATTAGTCCTTCAGGATTTGTTTCATACTCTTCAAGCATGAAAAAACCCATAATCGTTGGAAAATGATCCTTCAATCTGAATCTGCAACAAGCAAAAATGATCAATTATGTCAAATTGAGCAACTTCAAAATCTATTAACCTTCAATTTTTTCTGCATGAGAAAAACTCAAAAAACTGGCATATATTTAAGTTTATTCCTTTTTATATTAGTCCCTTAATTTCTATATGACATCGCTCCATGCATTTTACACGAAGCCCAAAATGACCACGTCATTTTCGACTCGCTTACATGGTTAACTTTATGTCTCTTGGGGAGAGAGAGAGAGAGACCCAAAATTTTAAATAAAATAAAAAATTATAAGTTTGTGTTTAATAGTAATTATATTAATTCTTAGGTTAAATGTGATAATATGGAGTGTTGGTGTAGTGGAAAATGCATGTAACCCAACCATCAAGCCCAAGTTTGAATCTGGATAGGGCCATAGGGAGTTTTTACTTTTATGCCTTTTTATGAAATTATTAAATTACCCTTATCCCAATCAAATTTTTTTCCTCTCTTTTATTCTTGTCTTCTTTGAGTTTTCTGGAGCTGAGAGAGAGCTAAGAGTTTTGCACCAAACGTTTGCCCTGTCTCTCATTGATCTCTGCTATCCTCCTTCTCAACCACTAGTTGTCCATTGCTCGTGTGAGTTGTCATCGCCGTCGTTGGTGTGCCTATTGCTGTTTCCTTCCTCCACAGCTATGAGTTCTTCCTCGTGTTCACCATCGTTCCTCCTCCTCTGTCACTACCTCAAGTATGTTCAACTTCTCTTCCCGTTCTCTTTTTTGTTTTGTGCGTGTGTAATTGATTGGGTGAGCTAAGATTTCTTTC